GCTACTTCTGCAACTGTCAACTGATACCCAAGAGAAATGATTTTCACTTCAATCAAAGGTATATAAAATGTTGGTACAACTGGAATTTTTTAGAAAATTGACTTTGATACAATTATTGCCAAAAGCTTGCTTTAGCTATTCAATTTTTCAGAAAGGCAGTCTAATGGATGGATTAACTATTAATCTTCCTATATTTTTCAGGCTTTAGTGTTGTATTAAGATAGCTCACTGGAAAGCCTAGTGCCTGGACCATATTATATAAATTCCCCACAGAAATGATTTTACTGAAATATGACTTAATGATTAATAATTTATAGTCTGCACTCAACCATTGAGAAGTCGGATGCATGCCAGTTCCATTTGATAAGTGCTTGCATTTCATCGCAATACCATAGAGAACAGCACCCACCACCATCCATTCATTCATCTAGTCAACAACCCAGGGTATTTTCATTCAGCATCAGAGTTATCCCTAGAAGAATCTTCTGGGATAAGTGACTGGGTTGGGAGAGAGAATTAGTACTGATGAAGACAGTACTGTGTTCCAGGATTTCTGTATGGTCTGATTTAATCTTTATGACCTTGTGAGATATATGAGGGATTTCAAATTTTACATACGAGGAAAGTAAGAATCAGAGGATGTTACTGAGGTCTCATAGCTGGTGTGTGGGAAAATCAGGAGTAAAGGTGAATTTCCTATGGAGTGGTAATAGAAGGAGAAAAGGAAAACTATACTTGGACTATGCAATAAGAAGATAGGCTGGCAAATTGTATCTTGAATTTTCAATAACAGGTGTTTTAGACTACTTTCATTAATGATAGCACCTTGCCAAAAAGTTTCCAACCTCCCTTTGTATATACTTTTAAGGACAATATATATAACAAACATAAGTTTAATAGTGGTTGTTAGCAATCAGAATGTATCCCTAAAAATATCAAATATAAAAGTTTTATTGTGATCAAAAAAGACATATTGATTTTGTTAATCCAATACTGCATAAGTTTAGTTTAGCTAATATATTAGCCCAGACTTTTACATCATGTGATAATCTGCAACAAAATCAAAGGATCTTAACATTAGAATGTTCCAAAATTACAAGGTATTGACATTATCAGTCAACATCTGGATCTATTTAAATCATCCCACTCAACTGTCAACAAGTCTATGCTTCCACATTGTTAGTCAAAGGGAAGGTCTAATGCCCAAATTAACCCAATTTTTTTTTTTTACATCTTTTTAGAAAGCTCTTTATTATCTTGAGCCAAATCTATTTTGGCTTCAGCTCATTGATCCTAGTTCATCCTTTTTGAATAATACAGAAGTCTAATTTCTCTTCCACATGAGAATAATTCAGATACTTGGAAATAGTAAGGTTCCACTAGAGTCTTTTCTGCCCCAACTATACAGTCTCCATTATCTTATCTGTGTATGGCGTCGTTTTACTTTAATTAATATTCTGGTGCCATTTAAAGATCCTCCAGTTTATGTATGTGCCTTTTGAGTGTGGTGTTCTTGGATTACAGTACAGTAGAGAAGGACTGCCTTCTCCATCTTCCTTCAGTATAAAAAGGTTATATTAGCAGAAACAGATTAATATAGATTTGTACAGTAATGACCGGTAAGTAAAATCCTTGACAGTTTTTTTCTGCTACCAAAGCACACCTATCCTCAACTGTACTTGTGGAGATGGGTTTAGTCCAAATTTCAAAGTCTTACATTATATTATTCTATTAAATTTGGTACACCATCCTAAAATGTTCAATTTTATCACAATTAAAAATTCACATATTTTATTTATTAACTATATCACAAATAAAAATATTTATTTCCCACCTATTATTAATATGTGCCAATCACTGTACTAGGAATTTGCACTCTTATCATTTTATTCTATCCTTATTTAACCCAAGAAGGAATTCCAATTTTATGACTGAGAAAACAAGTTCAAAAGTATTAAGTGTTATGACTGAGATTTCTTAGAATATTAGTAACAGAGGTTAAGATTTGAATGTAGATCTATCTAAGCTCAAACTTCCTGGTTTTATTTATCTATTTCTTCTAGGCTATTTTTCCACTCCACCTGAAACTGTTGATGTGTTGAATAAGCCATATAGAATAAAGAGGACTTAAGTGTGTCATGTCCATTGGTCAGCAGCCTTTGGACAAAGATCCCAAGCCTTTATAAATCTGCCTAATTATAATACTATCTATCACATTTTTTTTTCATTTTTTGAGACATTTTATAAATTGACTTAACTGAAGTCCCAACATATATATATATTTTACTTCATTTCACCTGTGAAATAATCAAGACTTGTGGTGAGAAAATAAAACATGAATAGGGTAGGTTCATGTACAAAGAAATATCCTAAGCAACCAGTAATTGCCATAAAGCCCATGTATTTTTTAAAAAGGTCAATCAACCTTCACCTAGAAAATTCAGTCCTTCACTTTTGACAATAGAAGGAGCAGATTAGAAATAGAAATGCAATATCATCTCTCAGTTGATTGCTAAAGCAGGAAACAGTAGGACTCTAAAAGCATAACAGAATCATTCAGTTATTGCCTATGGAAGTGTCACTACAGTATAATATAGTAATTAATGTTTAACAACTATGAGTTGTGAATAAACTATTTCATGTACATTCAAGGATTTCTGTGTAAGGAATATAACTTTGAAAGGCTCATTAAATATTTTAGAGAAAAAAGATTTTGTATGTAAGAGAAAACTTTAGTTGTATGTAGCTTAGGCTTATAAATTATACTTATTCAAAGCATCTTGGCTTCCTTCGATAAAGTTTAATATATGAAATCTTACCATAAGCATGTTGGTATATGTGTGCATATTGTGCATATGAATAATTCTTAGAAAACTTTTAGTAAGTCTCAGTTTTGTGCATGGTATTGAGCAAGATATTTGGAAATAAGTAAATTTTAAAGTGAGAAATTTTGAGTTTTTATACCATTAGTTTGGGAAGAGAGTTCAAAGTAGAGATATGCCGGTCTTTTGAGTCCATATTCCTCTCTTTAAAATTGCCTTGTACTCTATCCCTGAAACATCTGTTGAAGGACTTGGGTATAAGCAGCCATTGCTGTTGCAAAAATGTCCCTCCCTCTGGTCATAAATGACTGAAATAAGGAGAAATTAATTTATAGGTTAATCTAGGCCAATTAGAGTATATATCTATTTACCTTTTAATTGAAACATAGATTATAGGTATACAGTGGGAACTTAAACTGAAAAATCAAATAAAGTTAAGGTTGTTGTAATACTTTGGTCTGTGCACATTCTGAGAAGGAAGCCATTTTTCAGGTGGAATGTAGTGGCATGAAAAGCAAAGCCCAGAAAATGTGTGATCCCATGAAAGGCATAAGTAGTCATCCCAGTATTTTATTTCTCTTTTTATTTCTCATTTTATTTTCTATAGCACATTTATGACACAGAAATATACTATGTTTACTTTCCTTGAATAATATTTAAAATATCTCCCACTCAACATTTACTTAAGCTAGCAGTGGAAGTCTGATTCTTGCAATGAGTGGTGCCCCATTGATGTTAACTACCTTATCTTTTTCTTACTTTTAATCAATCGGTAAATAATTTATTAAAGTATTAAATAACTCAGATTTCACAAAAGTGGGAAATTCTGGAGTAGAACATAGGTATGAGCATACATGTGTGGTTGATTTCTGTCTTAGAAAAATCTTATAGAAGGCATTCAGCTAGGGCCAGCACTGCAAGAGAAAATACAGGATACAAAATGCCACAGTATCAAGTACAAAATTTTCTACCCTTCATTAAGATAATAAAATTACAAGAAGTGTTTAGGCAAACAAATAAAGAAAAATCAATTATTCAACATTGGTCACTTGAAGAGTAAATTTTAATAGGAATTAGACTGGAACAAATCAGCGAAGGACATATTTGTGTATGTGAATAATGAAAAGATTCATGAATGGGAATTCAAGTAATTATATTTGATGAACACTATTTTGAGTGGCCTGTAGGATGACTTGAATAGGTCAACACTACAATTGAAATATATGAAGACTACTAAAGCATCTCAAATATAGAATTACAAAGATGACTATCTTCAAGTAGGTATATAAATAGATATTAATAGTATCAAGATTAATAATGTAAAATTGCTGAAAGAAAATTGTTTTGTGTAGAGAGGTTGATGACAGAGAGAAAAACATCACAAGTAATTTTCAAGGTATTGAATTTGAGTTTTTGTTTCTACAATAGCTAAGATGTTAAAGAATGATTCTAATCATATACAAAGACAATGAATTTTGTTTTTACCTGTTAAGCTGCTGCCATTGGTGAAATTACCACATTGGCAGCTGGAAGAAGAAAGGGTTTTGAAAATGTACTTGGTAAATAGTCATTTGAATACAGTAATTAAAACTTCATGTTTGTCCATGATTCATCAGAATGACAGCTATAACAGAGGAGGAAGGCAAAATGTTAAGGGATATGAGAGTTAAAATTTGGGTTAAAATTTGACCTAGGCTAAAAATGAGACAAGGGAAGTAATGAGAGATATAAAAGGAGATACAGAAGAATGGGCCCCAGATCTGTGAAGACTAAGTGTAGGCAAAGAAAGTATAGTCAGTCGTTAAATACAGCTCACAGGGAAGTAATTGGATTTGTCTCTGGGGGAAAAAAAAAATCTCTAGCAACTTTTGAATTCTTTTATTAGAGTGGAGAATTTAAAAGCAGGTTTCAGTAAAAAAAAAAAAAAGAGTGTTCAAAAGAATGAGTAAAAGAAGCAATTGAGTTATTCATGAAATCACAAATTAAGTCTGATATAATACAAGTACAATAAAACTCAGACCAACTTAGATTTCTACAAAATTCAGGAATGTGTTCTTTAAATAAATGCATGCATTCACTTTGCTGATCTCTATTTTTCATATCCTAACCTTTTTAATTTTAAAATTTTCTTAATATGCCCACTTTTATAGAGAATTAAAGAAAATTAATTTCTTACAGGTACAAAATTGGAAATGTTGTCTTCACCAGAACCTAAGGGCCTTATCCCCTTCACTAGAGAGTCTTTTGAACTTATAAAACAACGTATTGCTAAAAAACACTGTGAGGAACATGAAGAAGAAGATTTAAAGGCAAACAGTGACTTGGAAGCTGGCAAAGAGCTTCCATTTATTTACGGAAACCTTTCTCAAGGAATGGTGTCAGAGCCGTTGGAAGATGTGGACCCATACTACTACAAGAAAAAAAATGTGAGAATTAATTGAAATTATTAGGACTACATTTTTATTTCATTTCCAGATATGCAAAAATGTAATTGAGATAGGGTATAAAAAGAGAATGAAGATCAGGGAAGAGCTAATTTTAGATTATACAAAACTGCGTAAGATATTTCATTTGTGGCACATACATATTTGAGAGTTTTATCAAAACTGATGTCTTACCTAGTTGAGTAGTTTATTTTGGGTAACTTTACTTCTTAGTAAATAGGTAAATATAGGTACTGATATGCCTTAATTTATTGACTTGTTTTAGGGGAACATGATAATTGACTATTTATGGTTATCAATTTTAAAGTAACTATAAAATGTCTAGAATATGTAGGATGATTTAAAATGTTCAATTTGATGAGCTTACTGAGAAGTTAGGAAAGTAAATTGTAACCTGTATCTTATTTATCATTTTTATTCATTCATACATGCATTAATTCAAACTTTATTTTAAGTCCAGAATGACTTGAGGCCCCTACTTACATATGTATAATTCCAGAACAAGCACAAAATGCTATACATGAATAATTATGTTTTTAAAAGGCAAAGATCTTTATGAACCAGTGAACCTGGAATGGTCATTAAGAAAGTAGAATTTGTGTGAATAGTTTGAAGAACACTTCAAATTTTAATAAGGCAAAGGGAAGACTTTCTATGAGCAGGAAAGAACACAGATTGATTCTGGAATGGGGAAAAGACAGTGATGCTATAACTGGAAACTTAGCTATGTTGCAAGTTGTTGAATATAAGATTAGATAATGGAGGTGTCAACATGAATTTAATATGGTGATCAAAGGGACTGATGTGATGAATGCAATGTTTAAGTAAATTCAATCTGGCAGATTTTGGAATTACTATTACACAGAAGAGATAGGGCCAGAAAGGTGAAATAGGAGAGAGAGTAATCCAGACCTGATGTCGAGAGACCTGGATTATAGTAGCAGAGGAGAGAGAGAACACACTTGAGAAGAAACAGAAGGATTTGACTCACTAATAATGCCAACGTTTTCAGCTTGGAAGAATGGTGGTGCCATTGACAAAAGGAAATAACTATAAATAAGATCAAATTTGTGGAAGGTGAGGATTAGCCCCACAGTAGGCAAATATAAATTGATATTGTGGAACACTGAATGATATTTTAATATCCAATGCATGACATGAAATTGAAGCAAAGTCTCCGGACAAGGGACAAAGTGATTTTTTTTTTTTTATATAACTACAATTCTTTGGAATACTTTTCGTGGTGGAAGAGTATGATATTTTATAGTAGAAGTGTGTGTGTGTGTGTGTCTATACACTAAAAAAGACATATGCAATATGTAACATTAGCTATGAGACACTTGCATAATCTTCAGAACATTTTAGTGAAAGTGTAAGTCCTAACTCATCCCTATCTCTCTGCATTCAGTTTTTGCTATGCTTACATCATAGCAATTGATATGGCACAGTAACTTTAGGAGTTGCTGCAATGTAGCCAAGTTGGGAGTACCCAACAGTGTACACAGACATACATGGTAGGCAAAACTGGGTTTGTTATTGAAGATAAAACTAACAATTTTGAAAAATAAAGCAAGGCCCAAAGTTATTCATGGTCTAGTTTTTATGAAACACCAGGGGCAAAAACAGCAAGAATAGCTTAGTATAAAAAATGCCATTATCAATGACACCAATCTATTTAAACTTTTAAGTTGTATTCAGTTTATTCTATTAAAGAGGGCATAAAACAAATAATCATAAAATTCATAAAACAATTTCATCTTTTAAAATTAGAAAATTATTATATCTGGAATTACCTCTTTACAATGAAGAATTTAATGCTTTAATATTCCAATATGTTAGTTTACATGTATAAATTTCTGGTTTAGATGCATCTAAATTATCTACAAAACAAGTTGGGCTTCATTTTATAGAATATGTTTCTTTTTATTTCAAAGTACTTGGAGGTACAAATAATTTTGGTTACCTGGATCGCTATTATAATGCTTGAGTCATGGTTCTAAGACTGCCCATCACCTAGATATTATTAATTATACCCATCAGGGAGGTTTGCACCCATCCCCTCTATCCACCTCCCCCTGTTGATTTCCATTGAGTTTTAGATTCCTCTGTGCACATGTGTGTTCATGGGTTAGTTCTAATTTAATATTTTAAATATTAACATAATTTAATATTAAATATGATATAACATAAATATTAAATATTTAGCATATAATACAATATTAATTAATTTATATTAATATAAATATTAAGTATTTAGTATAAACTATAATATTCAACACAATGAATGTTTTTCCATTCTTTAGATACATCACTTAGCATAATGGTCTCCAGTTCCATCCAAATTACAAAGGCATTAAGTCATCCTTCTTTATGGCTAAGTAATATTTCATGGTATATATATACCATATTTTGTTAATCCACACATGAATCGATGGGCATTGAGTTGATTCCACATCTTTGTAATTGTGAATTGTGCTGCAATAAAAATTCGAGTGCAGGTGTCTTTTTGATAAAATGCCTTCCTTTCCTTTGGGTAAATACCCAGTAGTGGGATTGCTGGATCAAATGATAGGTTGACTTTTAGTTCTTTCAGGAATCTCTGTACTGTTTTCCATAAAGGTTGTACTAATTTGCAGTCCCATCAAAACTCTGCATCCACACCAGCATCTATTGTTTATGGACTTTTTAATAAAGGCCATTCTGACTGGGGTAAGGGGATATCTCATTGCGGTTTTAATTTGCATTTCCCTGATGACTTTTCCCTTTATCTTCTACCTTTCCTGCTTTACAATTTTTCTCCACGAGATCTCTGACAGGCTCTGGCACCTCTCTCTGTGATTCATATCCATTCTATGTCTCTTCTCCTCTTTCCTTTGTCAGAATTTCTATCTTCCCTCTGGTCTGACAAGTAATGTCTCTTAGTCAGCCATTTTCTTCCTTTCCTATTTTATAGAATATTGTTAATGATTAATGTACTATTTCAATGCATTGGATCTTTTTTACTACTATAGTCCCACATTTGCTTTGCTCTGACATGAAATCTAACTATTTTTTACGTTAATTAAATTCTGAGATGAACCACCTCTGGAACTTTTAAATGCATCTCTGCAAGCCGTAGGGATATAGTGTTCTTCCTATTGTGCTAGTTCCGTGGGGAAACCTGGGAATGTGGTGTATGGCAAACAACTTTCCTAAATATAGCACTAGCAAAACAAAACAAAACAAACATCATAGATAAGTGGATATGCGTAAGCATTAATAAAAACAGTTTAATGTTTTTCCATTTGCCTTGGTCTATAAAAGAATATCAAAAGGAAGAAAAATATAGCTATCAGAATTCAAAACTGTAATGATCATTAACGTGTTGCATAATTGATGAGATTATAGTTCTGAGTTCTAATCTCACTTCATTTTTTTTCTTACAGACTTTCATAGTATTAAATAAAAACAGAACAATCTTCAGATTCAATGCTGCTTCCATCTTATGTACATTGTCTCCTTTCAGTTCTATTAGAGGAACAACTATCAAGGTTTTGGTGCACCCATATCCTTTCCTATTATTGCCTTGTTGACTATGCATTGAACTGTACTAACACCAAATGCAACTATACTATTATTCAAATATTGATGCAGTATTTTTCTCTTTCAAATTTATATATCATGTTAGATCGTATTGAAATCTGTATTATACTTCATTAAGTGTTCCACATTTGAAAATACATATAAAATGTATTTTCATGTACCCACATCAGTAAATATTAACAAATATTAATCCACATTGTTGTTCAATATGATTAATTTTTTTAACATTTAAGAATGTTTTTCCTTTCAAAATATTAAGGGGGTAAAAGAAAAAAAAAAAAACCCTAACAAGTATCATGCCAGTGCAGAAGGTCATGCATTACAAAGAGTATTAGGGATAGAATGAATGACTAATAAAACTTTAATAACACACATAAAGAATATTTTATCTTGTGTGTATAAATATAAACAGATTATAGGAATGTATCTCTTCCAGAGTTATTTATTATTCCTTGACCATAACGTACCTTTTTCCGACTGTTAATTTTAATCAGTGTCCTGATTGATTGCATATTTATGTCCATGACCAATTTGCCAAAGTGGGGACCAGTATTGGAGTAAGTTATATAATTTTATTATATATACTATCATATATAATCATATTTAATTTTTAATACTTAACATTTTAATTTAATAATATTAAATTATATAATATGCTATATTTTCGAACATTACACAATTTAATATTTATTAATGTTTAATATAATATTTCAATACCTCAGATCTTTTTACAATTGCAACCCTACACCTGATTTGCTTCTGACTCAAATAAATCTTATTTCTTTCAATTTATTATTAAGAAAACTATTACTTTCTCTTCCTTTCTGTTCTACTTCTCTGCTCTTTCCTAACAGATGGGAGTAGTCTGACTTGCATTAGACTACATTGATGAAAGGCTCATTAAATTTTCTAGGGAAAAAGTCTTTCTTAAAGTTAACTCTTGAGATTTAACTCTGTTCTTAAAATTAATTGACTTTGGAAGGTAACTGTAACACTGATTCGCCTATAAAAAATCCTTGTATATATGTATAATAAGATTATATCTTACACAATCCTTTAATTATTATTAAGTTAATTATTATATAATCCCTATAGGTAGCAAATTAGGTATTTGGTGTTTTCATAATTTACTTACAACATACATAAAGAGTATCGCCTCTGAGCCTGGACTTATTAAAAAAATTTAATAGGCAAATGTCATGGCTAATGCCATTAGACTTGGGCTAAGGTTCAAGGAGCACTTGCCTTGTTGATTGTTGTCTAATTGATTGGTGGTTAGTTGGTTTTGGCCTGACAAGCAGACCTGATCTCACCTTTCTGATGATTTATTCTCAAATACTAGATGGTTATCATAGACATAATATAGTATTTCAGATGTGACATTCTCACCTTTAATATTTATATCAAAATTTTTCTGCAGGAATACTTTGCTTGGAATTTACACATTTGAAATAATTGTAAAACTCTTTGCAAGAGGTGTCTGGGCAGGGTCTTTTTCTTTCCTTGGTGATCCATGGAACTGGCTTGATTTCAGCATAACTTTGTTTGAGTAAGTATTTCTTTAAATTACACACACCTTAATGTCTTACTAAGCAAATGTTTCATATAAAATAATTGGGGTCTACAAAGATTTCTGCCTCAGATATACTGTGAGTGGAGAATATTTCAAAGGCATAGTCATAATGAGTTCTCTCAGGCAATTGTCTCTGAGTATCAGAGACAGTCAGAGACAGTGTCCTCAGAAGGTGCAATGAAAATTAAAGGGAGGGGATATTTTCTGTTTTCTGCCTGGAACAAGAATGCCAGAGATTGAATTTGTACATTTTATGTGATTTTTTTGCAGTGAGCAGTGAGCAAAGAATTCCCTGAATATTTAGGAAAGGATCCTAACATTTGATTCTCAATCCCCAATCTACGTGTTATATAGCTACATTGCTTAAGACCAGTAGACATGCTAGATATCAGAATACATGTATTTTAAACACTCTCCACCCTCATGCATTTTTCTTTAGTGTTACATACAGTTTTAATGATTTCATGTCTATTTATTTTTTCAAACTTCTATTTAGTGTATTCTGTCTTATAGCTATGGAAATGATCAGTGGCATCAAACCTCTATTAAAAACAATTTAAAATGATATTCTAATTGTAGAGTTTTGGTCAACTTTTTAAAATAACCTTTATAAAGAGCATAAATAGTGTCCTCCATGTTGAACACAATCTAAAATAACACCTCATATCATTGTAATTATTACCATTACTATTTTTAGTAGTATTGCCATTTATTTCTGCTGCTTTTGCTGTTGCTGTTAGCTAACACTTAGCGAGCCCTTACTATATGCCAGGTGCGCCTCTATGCACTTTGTACATGTTAACTCATTAAATCCCCATAAAAAGCCTCTGAATCAGGAAGTATTATTAACTACACTTTACAGTTGAGGAAACTAAGGCAAGAAAGATTGAAGTAATTTTCCCATGTTGCACAGCTGGTTAGTGGTGGAGCCTAGATTTCTACACAGGCAGTTGGGCTCCAGAGTTTGTGCCCTTAGCCAATACACAGTTTGGCTTCTACCGTCATCATCATTCACCATCATCACCATCGTCATCATCACCATTTTCATATCATCTCTGTCATCATCATAAGTTTAAATACTTAAAATGAATTTCATTCCTTAAAAAAGCTGGCTATTAATTTTTCTTATTTTAACCTTTTTTCATTAATCAGATAACAGAATATTTGTGGATATAATATAAAATATTTGATATGAAATTAAGAGCATTCACAGTGTCAAGCTTTTGTAAACTCTCATAATTTAAGTTTGTAGGTTTATATTTAATCTGGCCACCTTGCACTGTGGCAACCTTTGTCTACTAGTCAATGGTAAAACTATATGCAAAAGTGGAGTAATGTGAGCAAAGGCATTGTATGAATGTAGGATTTTAAAAGTATGTTTCAAAAAGTATAGAAAGTCAAAGATAAGTAGGATAGACTCAATATGACCTCTAAATACTTTAACTCCACAGGCTTATAACAAGATATTCGCCTCTGAACTTCATTCTAATGCTTCAAACTGCAAGAACTTTGAGAATTTTGAAAATTATTCCTTTAAACCCAGGTAAGAAATGGCAATGAATTCCTTTACCTCATTTTGTTTTATGTACTATAATGTATTCATTTGAACTTCCCGTTGTTGCTCAGAGGCAATGTAAAATTGAATAATGTTTCCACTTGGGATTTAGTTATCTGATTTTTCAATTTATTTGTCACTCCAAGAAAGGCAAGGAATATTTGACGGTTGTTCAGTACTTAAAAAAACAAAAAATATAGACATCATTCAAATATATTTTTAATTTTTAATTCTTATATCTTAAGTATGAACTTATAATATTGTCCATAGACTTCTGAGGCAAATAGCAGTCAGACAGATGTCTAAATCTGCTATCTTCTGTTCCTCATCACATCAAGAAATCAGTTGAAATGAACAAAGTAATGTAAAATAAAATAAATATAAAATAAGTACCCTTTGCTCTGAGTGCTTGGATAGTTTGCACTTCACGTGCCACAAAATTCAGTCAGGTTCTTATAAATCCACTAAGGCTGTGACCACTTTGATGGAAGATACTGAAGACTAATTTACAGCTCCTATTTCTGAAGATATCCTAAAGGGAGCCCACCAATACCACCTAATGCATTGTTCTGTGTGAATCAAAACAATCAGATAAGAACAACTCCACTCACAATCTTTTGGCTACTATGAGTTAGAAGTATTATGAAATAGTTGTATCAAGAAACAAACATAACAAAACCAAAAATAAGATCTATAGGTAACTTCATGGACCAGAGCTCTAGGATCAAGGCCAGACAAATGTATGGTGTAACTTGAAGATCAGGATGAACAAAACAGACAAACAGATTGGAGGACGTAGTGAGGGATTCATAACCTGTGAATATACTAAAATATTGACTCATACACACTAAACCAGTGAATTGTAGGGTTTGTGAATTACAACTCAATAAAGCTATTTTTAAAAAAATGGTTTGCAGCATGGCAGCTTTACCACATCTAGTGAAGGAAACAAGTAATGAGATTTACCCTGGTAGAAGTTGCCACAACTCTGGCTTTCCTAGTCCTCCCAAAATGTTGCTAGAATGTAAGACTGCATCACCTGCATTTTCATCTTAGGATCAGAGGTAAGGATTATAAAAGAAATCAAGTGAATTTAAGTTAAGACAAGAATTCTTTCACTAATGTTGGGGTTCACAGGCTAGTAGGGACTTACTACTGTTTTTTCCAGGGATATGGAGTATATGAAAATGTTTTGCAATACAGAGAAACAAACATACTATCTAATATAAAAAAGTAATCCTCTTTCTTTGAAAAAATATTGGCTTAAGGCATAGAAGCAAGCATAGAAAACATCTATTTTGTGGTCTCGATAGAAGAAAACCTTAACTCTCCCCAGAAGAATATGAAAATGAGATAACAAAATAGGCAAACATAAATAACTGTAAAGCAAAAAATGTGATTGAAATTGTAATACTCTAGGTGAATATTAAATGGTAATAGAAACAGTAAAATACAGCACTATTAGTGCATCAAACAAGCATAACTGTGTAAAGAAAGACTAGGGGTGTTCTGTATTAATACAGTAGAACCAAAAATGGGATGTAGTAATGAAGGAGAGAAAACTCAATTCTATCTTATGGGTAATTGGTGATCCTAAAAAAAGGCCAGAGTAAATGTAAAAGGTAAATTATTCAAAAATACAGTAGACAGTTTAACAGCTCTTTTAGAATTTGTCTAACAGGTTTTCCAGCCCTCACTGGAAAACACCCCTACCCAAAGAAAATACAGTAGAAAAAAATCTAGATTTATTAACTGGAGAAAGACTACAAACGAAAGGACCCATCTCATACTAGATAAAAAAATAACTAAAAGATACATTTAAACATATTGTAAACTTTTATAAATTTAAAATATTAAAGAATAAAAGTATTATAAAATCCTACGAACAAAAAAATTAGAGAAGCCAATTTAATGGAAAAGTCATCCTTAGACCTCTTGGTACTATTAAACTGGAAAAGGCAGTGGAGTTTCAGAACTTGCAGGGAGTGTTGGCAGGGAGGTTGAGAAACAGAATGCTATACCTGCCTGTGATTCATATGTGAAGTCAACAGAAAGATATCCTCAGCCATGCAAAATCCTGAAACTGTACATGTGTCTTTCCCAAATATCTGCTGAAAAAAGTATGAAAATATAGTGTTAAATAATGGCAAGATTTCATTTCAAAAGTCATTGCAGTGAGCTCTGAAATCATTTCAACAGAGAATGGATTACAAATTACTTCTGTTAGTGGGTTGCAAAACAGGATGCGAATATTATAAATCAGAAGTTATAACAAGGACATCTGCAGGTCATTCTTGAACTAGTGACATATTTTGTTTATGTTTTAGAAAACTTTAAAATAATTGCCAACTTTATAAAACTTCTGGTCATTTTATCTAAATTAACTTGGATGAATTGTCAGCATATTCACCTGTGCTGCTGAACGGAAACCACCTGCTGTAGTTGAGAAACAGCTGACCTTTCAAATCACACACATTCATTCAAATCCCCTCAACTCCCTATTTGTATGAATTTATGCTTCCTGTCAAGCCTTTATAAGGATTTGAATGTTACCCTTCCTAGAAATCATGAAAGACAATATATAATGTAAAAAAAAATAATAATTCATAGGAAAGTAAATTGGAAACGCCTGTATCTTTATTTATCATTTTTATTCATTCATACATGCATTAATTCAACTTTATCTTAAGTCCAGAATGACTTGAGGCACCTACTTACATATGTAAAATTCCAGAACAAGCACAAATGCTATACATGAATAATTATGTTTTTAAAAGGCAGAGATCTTTATGAACCAGTGAACCTGGAATGGTCATTAAGAAAGTAAGATTTGTGTGGAAATAGTTGAAGGACACTTTCAAATTTTAATAAGGCAAAGGAAGACTTTCTATGAGGCAGGAACACAGCAACAT